AAGAAGATAATCAAGAAAGCCAACACGAGGTATGATGATCAATCCTCATTTAGAAAGACAAATGGGATATGCATTGAACTTGAACGTATGACAGGAGTCTACCGCAGAAAGCATCTGAAAGACTCTACCTAGCAGTGTTCCAAAGTAGATACCAAGACTCATAACCAAACCTTCGGCAGAGGGCAGGGAATCATATGAAAGAAGGGGAGTTTGATGTGGAAAGGATAGGAGCTCCACAAGGACCAAACATATCTGGGCACAGGGTCTTTTCTGAGATGGACACTCAACCAAAGACCATAAGAGGATAAAAACCTAGAACCTCTGCTCGGATGTGACCCGTGATAGCTCAGTAATCAATTGGTTTCCCATAGTAAGGGGAACAAGGACTATTTCTAACAGGAACTCAATGACTGGCCCTTTGACCTCCCCAACTCCCAAGGGAGGAGCAGTACTGTTAGGCCACAGAGGAGGACTTTGCAGCCAGTCCTGAAAATACCTGACAAAACGGAGTCATATGAAAGGGGAGGAGGTCCCCCCCATCAGTGGACTTGGAAAGGGGCAGGGAGGAGATGAGGGAGGGAGGGTGGGACTGGGGAGGGAATGAGGGATACAGCTGGGATACAGAATTAACAAAATGAAACTAATGAGAATAATAAAAAAAATTTAAAAAATCATTCCAAGACCATGGAAGAAGATGAACTCTGAAGTTACTATTTTTTGCCACTACCTTGGCACAGCATCCTGAGTCCAGACCTGAGACCCTGCTTATTTTGTGTAGGACATTTACTTCCTGCTACTTTTTTTTTGAATTTTATTTTTTTCTTATCAGTTACATTTTATTAACTCTGTATCCAGGCGTGTCCCGATCCCTCATTCCCTCCCAGTCCCTCCCTACCTCCCTCATCTCCACCGTGCCCCTTGCCAAGTCCACTAATAGGGGGGACCTCCTCCCCATTCATCCGATCCTGTTTTATCAAGTATCTTCAGGACTGGCTGCAAAGCTCTCCTCTGTGGCCTAACAGGACTGCTCCTCCCTTGGGGGGTGGGGAGGCCAAAGAGCCTGTCATTGAGTTCCTGTTAGAAATAGTCCTTGTTCCCCTCACTATGGGAAACCAATTGGTTACTGAGCTACCACAGGCTACATCTGAGCAGAGATTCTAGGTTACATTCATACATGGTCCTTGGTTGCATGTCAGTCTCAGAAAAGACCCTGTGCCCAGATATATTTGGTCCTTGTGGAGCTCCTCTCCTTTCCTCATCAGACTAACTCCCCTTCTTTCTTATGATTCCCTGTACTCTGCCAAAGGTTTGGTCATGAGTCTTTGCTTTGAAAACACTGCTAGTTAGAGTCTTTCAAATGCGCTCAGTAGACTCCTGTCAATGTTCAATGCACATCCCATCTGTCTTTCAACACGAGGATTGATCATCTTACCCCATGTCCGCTCTCTTGATTATCTTTTTTAGGTGTATAGATTTCATTATGTTTATCATATCTTATAGGTCTATATAAGTGAGTATATACCGTGTTTGTCTTTCTCCTTCTGGGATATTTCACTCAGGATGATCTTTTCTAGATCCCACCATTTGCCTGCAAATTTCATGATTTCCTCCTTTTTGATTGCTGAATAGTATTCCATTGTGTAAAAATACCACAATTTCTGTACCCATTCCTCCGTTGATGGACATCTGGGTTGTTTCCAGGTTCTGGCTATTACAAATAAAGCTGCTATAAACATGGTTGAGCAAATATCCCTTTTGTGTACTTGAGCAAACTTTGGGTATATACCTAGCAGTGGTATAGCTGGGTCTTGAGGAAGCACTATTCCTAATTGTCTTAGAAAGCGCCAGATAGATTTCCAGAGTGGTTGTACCAGTTTACATTCCCACCAGCAGTGGAGGAGGGTTCCCCTTTCTCCACAACCTCTCCAGCATGTGTTGTCCCTTGAGTTTTTCATCTTGGCCATTCTGATGGGTGTAAGGTGATATCTCAGGGTCGTTTTGATTTGCATTTCCCTGAGGGCTAATGAGGATGAGCATTTCTTTAAGTGTTTCTCTGCCATTCGATATTCCTCTACAGAGAATTCTCTGTTTAGCTCTGTTCCCCATTTTTTAATTGGATTGCTTGGTTTGCTGCTTTTCAGCTTCTTTAGTTCTTTGTATATACTCGATATTAGTCTTCTGTCAGATAAAGGGTTAGTGAAGATTCTTTCCCAATCTGTAGGCAGGCGTTTTGTTTTGATGACAGTGCCCTTTGCTTTACAGAAGCTTTTCAGTTTCATGAGGTCCCATTTATTGATTGTTGCTCTTAAAGCCTGTGCTGTTGGTGTTCTGTTCAGGAAGTTGTCTCCTGTGCCAATGAGTTCTAGGCTGTTCCCCACTTTTTCTTCTAACAGATTTAGAGTATCTGGTTTTATGTTGAGGTCTTTGATCCACTTGGACTTTAGTTTTGTGAAGGGTGATAAATATAGATCTATTTTCATTTTTCTGCATCCAGTTGGACCAGCACCATTTGTTGAAGATGCTGTCTTTTTTCCATTGAATGGTTTTGGCTTCTTTGTCAAAAATCGAGTATTCATAGGTGTGTGGGTTTATTTCTGGGTCTTCTATGCGGTTCCATTGATCCTCCTTTCTGTTTTTATGCCAATACCATGCAGTTTTTATTACTATGGTTTTGTAGTACAACTTGAGATCGGGGATGGAGATACCTCCAGATGATCTGTTGTTGTACAGGATTGTTTTGGAGATTCTCGGTTTTTTGTTTCTCCATATGAAGCTGAGAATCTTTTTTTCAAGGTCTGTAAAGAATTGAGTTGGTATTTTGATGGGAATTGCATTGAATCTGTAGATTGCTTTTGGCAGGATGGCCATTTTCACAATGTTAATCCTACCAATCCATGAGCACGGGAGATCTTTCCATCTTCTGAGATCTTCTTCAATTTCTTTCTTCAGAGACTTGAAGTTTTTCTCAAACAGGTCTTTCACTTGCTTGGTTAGTGTCACCCCAAGGTACTTTATGTGGTTAGTGGCTATTGTGAAGGGTGTTGTTTCCCTAATTTCTTTCTCGGCCATTTTGTCTTTGGTATACAGGAGGGCTTCTGATTTTTTTGAGTTGATTTTGTATCCTGCCACTTTGCTGAAGGTGTTTATCAACTGGAGGAGTTCTCTGGTTGAATTTTTGGGGTCGCTCATATATACTATCATATCATCTGCGAATAGTGACACTTTGACCTTTTCCTTTCCGATTTGTATCCCCTTGATCTCCTTTAGTTGTCTTATTGCTCTGGCTAGGACTTCAAGTACTATGTTGAAGAGGTAGGGAGAGAGTGGGCAGCCTTTTCCTGTCCCTGATTTCAGTGGGACTGATTTAAGTTTCTCTCCATTGAGTTTGATGTTGGCTATAGGCTTGCTGTATATTGCCTTTACTATGTTTAGATATGTGCCTTGTATTCCTGATCTCTCCAAGACTTTAAACATGAATGGGTGTTGGACTTTGTCAAATGCTTTTTCAACATCTAAGTAGATGATCATGTGGTTTTTCTCCTTCAGTTTGTTTATGTGGTGGATTACATTGATGGATTTCCATATGTTGAACCACCCTTACATGCCTAGGATGAAGCCTACTTGGTCGTGGTGGATGATATCTTTGATGTGTTCTTGGATTCGGTTTGCAAGTATTTTATTGAGTATTTTTGCGTCAATGTTCATAAGAGAGATAGGTCTGAAGTTCTCTTTTTTTGTTAGGACGGCCACTATATTCTCATCAAAGGAAAAATCCACCAAGAGGACATCACAATTTTGAATATCAATGCCCCAAATACAAGAGCACCTACATTCGTAAATGAAACAATATTAAAGCTTAAATCACACATTGATCCTAAAACCCTAATAGTGGGAGACTTCAACACTCCACTCTCACCAAGGGACAGATCAACTAGACAGAAAACAAATAGGGAAATAAAAACACTTACAGAGACCCTAAATCAAATGGACCTAATAGATGTCTACAGATCTTTTCATCCAAACTCAAAAGAGTATACCTTCTTTTCAGCACCGCATGGAACCTTCTCCAAAATACACCATATAGTTGGTCATAAAGAAAGCCTCAACAGATACAAAAAGATTGAAATAATCCCTTGTATTCTATCTGACCACCATGGACTTAAGCTGGACCTCAACAACAGAAATAACAAACAGCCTACACGCACATGGAAACTGAACAACAAATTTATGGGACACATTGAAAGCAGTGCTCAGGGGAAAATTTATAGCATTAAGTGCCTGCAAAAAGAAATTCGTAACATCACATAGAAACAACTTAATGGCCCAACTGAAAACCCTAGAAAAAAAAGAAGCAGATACACCCAAGAGGAGCAGAAGGCTGGAAATAATCAAACTCAGGGATGAAATCAATCAATTTGAAAGAAATAAAACTATTCAAAGAATCAATGAAACAAAAAGCTGGTTCTTTGAGAAAATCAACAGGATAGACAAACCCTTAGCCAAACTAACTAAAAAGCAGAGAGAATCTATCCAAATCAACAAAATCAGAGATGAAAAGGGTGACATAACTACAGACACAGAGGAAATTCAAACAATCATTAGGTCATACTACAAAAGCCTATATGCCACAAAATTTGAAAATCTAAATGAAATGGACAATTTTCTTGATAGATTCCATCTTCCAACATTAAGTCAAGATCAGGTAGAAAGACTGAACAGCCCTATAACCCCCAAGGAAATTGAAGCAGTCATTCACAGTCTCCCCTCCAAAAAAAGCCCTGGGCCAGATGGTTTCAGCGCAGAATTCTACCAGACCTTCAAAGAAGTGCTCACACCAATTCTCCTCAAACTATTCCACAAAATAGAAACAGAAGGTACATTACCAAACTCATTCTATGAAGCAATAGTCACCCTGATACCTAAACCACACAAAGACCCAACAAAAAAAGAGTACTTCCTGCTACTTAACTCATTTCCCTGTACTTTCTATTTCCTGCCAGGCTCAATGTCCTTATCTTCCCCACTGTGGAGGAGTAGACCATCTACTTCTCAAGAGCAGCTGACTGTTTCTGGCAGATAGTGAAGACCAAAGGGGTACTAGGGCTCTGGAGGAAACTGACTGCTAACTTACTAAAGGTGAGAAGGGTGGCCAGTCTCCTGCTTCTCTACCTCTTCCTGTTCTCTCCCTTCCTTATCAAACTTCTGTACGTATGCATCATAGACCTCTGTAACCAGAATTAAGAACAAGAACTCTGGACTAGCCTTGTATTAGCTCACATGTAAATATCCAGGCAAGACCAGCATATAGCAATGGGCAATGGCAGATCAACTACATGAATATTAATGTTGGCCCAGTGCTTGTCCAGGGAATACCCTTCAGTGGCACTGACATCCTTCATCCCCTTCCACACTGTACTAGTTTTCCTTTTTCCATATTCTTTGATTCCAAAAAGAATTACCCATGTAGTGTTGCCCACAGCTATTGTCTTAGTTTACCTTGGTGCAACTCTCTTGCAGAAGTACCTTGTCTTAAGAGTTTAAAATATGGCTCTAAGGTGCTGAGTTCAGTTCAGGAGAGCTTCTCCATTCTGTTAATTAAACTTTGGGACATTGAAAGTACCTAAGGGAAATAACTGAATAGAGTATAATACACTATTCATATACTTCCAGGTCCACACCAATAAAAAATAAAAATAAAATTTTAGGGGCTAGGGAGATGGCTCAATGGTTAAGAGCACTGGCTGCTCTTCCAGAGGACCCAGGTTCAATTCCCAGCATCCACATGGCAGCTCATAACTGTGTGAAACTCCAGTTCCAGGAGCTCTGGAACCCTCACACAGGCTTATATACAGGCAAAACACATAAAATAAAAATAAATAAATCATTAAAAAGGAAAATGTTAAAATGTTTTAATTTTAAAAAGTTGTTTAACATTAGGCTGGAGAGAGAGCTCAGTGATTAAGAGTGTTTGCTGCTCTTTCAGACAACCTGAATTCAGTTCCCAGTACCCTTGTTGAGAGGCTCACAACCACACAAAACTCCATCTCCTAGGGATCCAATACCCTTTTCTGGCCCCCACGGGTGCCCAAACTCACACAGACATATAGATGCATAAATAAAATAAGTCTTTTATTTAAAAAAAAAGAATTTAACACAATTTTCATTTTCTGTTTTAACAGGTAGTTCCATATTTTGGAGTTATGTTTAGCATGTTTGAGTTCTGTAAGAGAATTTTTCTTTATCAAATGGCTATATCCTGTCCCCACTAACCTATAAACTGACCCCAGGGATGGACTGAAGTCTGAAGCCTTAGGAGTCACGGGAATTAAAGGTGTTCTTCAAACCCAAAAAAACTAGAATCTAAAAAAACAACTCTGTAAAGCTGAATTTCCACTGGTGGAAGATGGGCAGCAATCACAGATGAACATGGCCTCATAACTGTGTACATAGGAGGGGTGCGAGGGTATTCGACCTGCCACTCTTGGAAATAAGATCACGAGACCAAACATCATTTCACCACCCCAAACTTTCCCTGTGAATACCTGTGCCTTGAAAAGTTTTCCTGACACTGCTCTATCACAATGTCATCCCACCAGACTATAAGAAAACCTAGGGGGCTGGATGGTAGTGGTGCATACCTTTCATCCCAGCCATCCTCTGGAGGCAGAGGCAGGTGGGTTGCTGTGAGTATGAGGCTAGCATGGTCTACACAGTGAGTCTCAGAACAGCCAGGACTATAGAGAGAAAACCTGTCTTGAGAAAATAAAACAAAATAAAAAGAAAGCCTAGTGGTAATCAAACATGCAATATACCCTCTGAGGAAAAACACCCTGGAAATGAGCATTGCCACAGCACTTCAAAGCATCTTGTAGCTGAAGTAGCAGAGCAGAGACCATGTGGAGTTGGCCAAGTTTCCCTCTCTGGCCTGTGGCTCCCCCACACAGACAGACCTCTTAAACTCATACCTTTTTAAATTTTTTTTTCAAATGATCTTGCTACAAAGTCCTGGCTGCTCCCAGAGTTGTGATGTTACTGCCTAGACTCCTAGATGGCTTGGATTACAAGTCTGTTGTGCCACACTAGAATCTTAGACCCCCATTCTTTACTGAAAAACCAAGCTTCTCAATCTTAGAAGCTTCTGTTTCAAGAAGGTAGTTTTCCCCAGGATTTCTCTGTGTAACTGTGTAGCCCTAGCTGTCCTGGAGCTCACTCTGTAGACGAAGCTGGTCTCAGACTCAGAGATCTGCCTGCATCCCGAGTGCTGGAATTAAAGGAGTGCACCACCAGCTCTGGGCCCTATGATTTTTTTAATGATGCAACGATATTCCTGACCAAAGTCATATACAGTTCCATTGGCCTTAATTATCTGCCTTTCTAACGTGGTTTGTAAGACTACCTTGAAAATAATTATTTAGTTATTTTCCATTATTCTCATAAGATGTTCTAGTTGCCTAGAAAGTATCAAGTAGAAGATATGACACACATACTCCCCCCAAAATGTGATGAAATAAAAATCTTTTAGGCTAATCACCCTCTGTAGGGTTTTTTGTTGTTGTTGTTTTAATATAATCAAATGGGGGGGGGGGTTCTGTGTAAAATTTATATAACTGTGTTTTCAAATAGTACCAATCTTTGCATTTTAAAAATGCATTAATATCTAACAAAATGTGGTGGTGCCTATCTGCAATCACAGCCCTTAAGAGGCTAAGGTAGGAAGATCATGAGTTCAAGACCAGCCTTTGTTGCATAAGTTCAAATTTTTGTACATAGTGAAATCTTCTTTCAGAAAACAATAAATAAATAATTAAATGTATTGCTGACATAAATTCACATATTTTCTTTTCCTTCCCTCTACTATATACATGAAGGTTTCAGAACATTGAAAGTATTCGTTCATATTAAGCTTATTTTCTAAAGGAAAAAACTGGGCTGTAGAGTTGGCTCAGCAGTTAACAGCACTTGTTACTTTGTAGGAGAATGGTGTTCAGTTCCCAGTACCTGCATGGTAGCTCATACCCAACTGTACCTCCAGTCCCAGGGGATCCAACACCCTCACCTAAACTCCATAGGTACTAGGCACACACATGGTGCACACACACACACACACACACCCATATGTATATAGACAGAACACCCACATACATAAAATAATTAAATAAATCTATTTTTTCTTTAATTTTTTAAAAGGAGAAAAGTATCAGTTACAAAACTATGGTTAAATTCTCAGACCTTTTTCTGGTTTAAATATACAAAATAACTCATTTTTACAACTCCTGTGACAGACTGTTTTATAGGGAATGAAGTTGACACACTTCTGTAGCCCAATCTGTTAGTGTTTGGGGGGAGGTAAATACTGAATCCAGTCAATACGCCAGGTTTGTCAATTGTACTTCCTTGGAAACAGCAAAACAAAGTTTCAGAAAGTACTGAATATTATAAACATTTTTTGACAAAAGATAACATCCAACCTCAGTTTATATACATCTTAGTATTTCTTCTGTACATTCTTCCACAAATAACTCTAAAAACCACCCCACAGCTCAGAAAACACCTCTGTGCCAAGTAGAGTTATTTTTAACTATTTGTGTGTGGGAATGTGTATGTGAGTACAGATGCCTCTGGAGGCCAGAGGCATCAGATCTCTTCAGATCTGAAGTTTTACATGGTTATAAGTTGCTTGACACGGTTGCTGGGAACCAGACTCAGGTCCTCTTCTAGATCAGTATGTGCTCTTAGTAGTTGAGCCATCTCCAGCCCGAGTTGCAATATTTTTCAGTAAAATCAATAATGTTTTTCTGTAGTTTCAGAAAAACTCCTTAAAATTCTAATTCTGTTCCTAAAATGAACTGAGTGCTATTTTTACTTCCTTAGAGGTGTGAAGAGATGCTCTGCCTTCTTTTTTGAAATATTTTTAAATTAATTTCTTTTTATATTAATTACAGTTTATTCACTTTGTATCCCAGTTGTAGCCCCCTCCCTTGCCCCCTCTCAATCCCACCTTACCTCCCTCATCTCCTCCCATGCCCCTCTCCAAGTCCACTGCTAAGGGAGGTCCTCCTCCCCTTCCATCTGACCTTAGGCTATCAGGTCTCATCAGGACTGGCTGCATTGTCTTCCTCTGCGGCCTGGTAAGGCTGCTCCCCCCTCAGGGGTAGGAGATCAAAGAGCCAGGTACTGAGTTCATGTCAGAGACAGTCCTTGTTCCCCTTACTAGGGAACCCACTTTGAGACTGAGCTGCCATGGGCTACATCTGTGCAGGAGTTCTAGGTTATCTCCATGCGTGGTCCTTGGTTGGAGTATGAGTCTCAGAAAAGACCCCTGTGCCTAGATTTTTTGGTTCTGTTGCTCTCCTTGTGGAACTCCTGTCCCCTCCAGATCTTTCTATTTCCCCTTCTTTTATAAGATTTCCTGCACTCTGCCCAAAGTTTGGCTATGAGTCTCAGCATCTGCTTTAATACCTTGTTGGGTAGAGTCTTCAAACTCATGGCAATCTTCCTGCCACAGCCTATGGACTGCTGGGATTATAGGTATCAGGCCACGTGGCTTGCTAGATTTTGGTATTTTAAGGTAGGATCTCACTGTATAGCCCAGGCTAGCTTTGAACTCATGATCCTCCTCCCCTTAGATTCCAAAATGCCAAAATTATGGCCCTCTATGCCTGGCTCTGAACTGAGTTTTGAAGGAAGGACTGTTAGTAGTCTGAATAAGAAATGTTGGCTGCCACTGGTGGTGCTATTTGGGATTCTTACAGAGCTGTTAGGAACAGCTTTGCGGGAGGATGTGCATCATTGGGAGCAGAGTTTGAAAGTGGAAAGTGTCACCCTACTTCCATGCTGCTTTCTGCATGTGGTTAAAGATGTCTCTGAGCCTCCTGATCTGGCTGCCTATCAACTGCTGCCATGCCTTCTCTACCATTGTGGACCATAAGTCAAAATGAAGTCTCTTCTATAAGCTGCATTTAGTCGTGGTGTTTATCACAGCAACAGAAAAGTAACTAATACAAGGGTATAAGCAGTAGCAGAGAGATGAGAGCAGGCAAAGTTGATTGAGACAGAGTGAGGAGACTGGCCTTATGCATTTATTCAACAACTAGGCACTGTGGACGAAGTGATATGAAAGGCAAGTGTGACTGCTCTCATTCTGGAGATCATGAGCTAATGAGCATGGAGGTCAATTAACAACTTTTCAAAAATAAGGTAGTTTTACATTGTAATGTTGGGAAGAGAATAAACAGTGCATTAATGAAAGGATTATGTGGGAGAAATGTAAAAATCTTTCATTCGGGGAGTCAGTGGAGGCCTTTCTGAGAGGTGACATTGGAGATAAGACCCAAAAGACAAGAATGAGCCAACCAAAGAAAGAAGCAAAGAGAACATCTCCAGCAGTGGACAAAACAAGTGCAAATGGCTGGTGGACCAACAACAATTAGTGAACAGAATGCAGCCAGGGTGGTCACTGAGTGAAGGGTTTGAATGAGATGAGATGTAATAGAGAGGCAGATCATTTGCATCTGTTCATTTGTAGTTCTGGAGATAAAATCCAGTAACTTGCACATGTAGGGCAGGGCCCTCTACTGAGCAACTACATCCATAGCTGTAAAAGTCAAATACATAGCTATAAAAGTCACATAGGCCACAGCCAGAACATCAATTTTATTCTAAGTATAATGAGAAGTACTGAAGGTTTTTAAGCAGAAACAGTACAATCTGGTTTTTAATTTTAAAATGCAGTTCCAGTTGTTATGTAGAGGAGAGAGTAGAGGGATGCATGAATAGAAATGAGAAGACCAAGTGAGAGCAGACTCCAGAACTATACCCAAGAAATGTCAGCTCAGTCTAGAATAGTGGCAAAACCAAAACTGAGTTCAAGGTCTGGAGAGATGGCTCAACGACTAAAATCACATACTGCCTACAGGCTGATTTTTTTGGTGCCAACTTGACACACGCTAAAGATGTCAGAGAGGAAGGAGCCTCAGTTAAGAAAATGCCTCCATGAGATCCAGCTGGAAAGTATTTTCTCAATTAGTGATCAATGGGGGAAGGGACCAGTCCATTGTGGGTGGTTCCATCCCTGGGTTGGTAGTCCTAGGTTCTATAAGCAAGCACGCTGAGCAAGCCATGGGAAGCAAGCTCGTAAGCAGAACCCCTCCATGGCTTCTACATCAGCTCCTGTCTCCAGGTTCTTGCCCTGTTTGAGTTTGTGTCCTGACTTCCTTCAATGATGAACAGCAATATGAAGTGCAAGCCAAAGAAACCCTTTCCTCCCCAACTTACTTTCTGGTCACAGTGTTTTATCACAGCAACAGAAACCTTAAATAAGATACTGCCTTTCTAAAGAATTGGAGTATAATTCCTAGGAACCACAGTGGGTGGCTCACAACAGCCAGTAACTCCAGTTCCAGAGGGATCTGACATGGTAGCTTCCAAGAGCATCTGCACACACATGTGCATACTCCCAAACCACACACACACACACACACACAAGTACAAACACACATACATAAACACACACAGAAAAATAAAAATAGGTCATGGAGAGATTTCTCAGTGGTTAAGAGCACTGGCTGCTCTTCCAGAGGTTCCAGATTTTATTCCCAGTACCACATGGTGGTTCAAAATTGTTTGTAACTCTATCCCTGGGGAATCCAATGATTTCTTCTGGCCTTCTTGGCACTGCATGCAGGAAGTGTCATACATGCAGGCAAAACACCCACAGACATAAAAATAAAATAATAATAATAATAATAATAATATTATTATAAAAAGAAAATATTAAGACACATTTTGCAGTTGGACTTAGATTTTCTGAACAACTGAATTCAGGAAGTAAAAGGGAGCATTGAAGTTCAGAGTTAATGTTTTGGCTATCTTAAATTCTAAGTGCCCAGAATAAGTAAAGAAATAGTTGGCCAGAGCCTAAACTGTCCCTAGAATTGTCCAATTTGTAGTAGATGGAATAATGACACCCCAAAAAAAAAGTGCCCATATGTATATAGGTTTTTCAAGACAGTTTCTCTGTGTAGCCCTGGCTGTCCTGGAACTCACTTTGTAGATAACAGACATCTGATTGCCTCTGCCACACAAGTGCTAAGATTAAAGGTATTCACCACCACACCCAGTGCAGTATCTATATTCTAATCCCTGGGACCTTTTAATGTATTCCCCTCTACAACATAAGAAGTTTGGCAGTGTTTGTTTGTTTGTTTGTTTGTTTGTTTGTTTGTTTTGAAACAGCATCTTGCTCTTGTATCCCACAATAACCCTCCTGCCTCAGCTTCTCAAGTATTATGATTATAGGCCTGAGGCACCATTCCCTGTGACAAACAAGATCTTGAACAAGTGATTAGAGTTATAGTAATTATAATTTACATAGAGAAATATATAGATCATTCTGCTTTGTTTGGGTATACCCAATCTGTTCAAAAGAGCCCTGAAAAACTGGGGGCATGGACTCAAAGCATGGGGAGTAAGCAAAAACTGCAAGCCCAGTAGAGACGTGACAAGGACTGACTGAATACGAAGGTGCCCAAGAGCCAAAGAATAGGGATGGTTTCAAGAACCTAAGAACAATCCTCAGCTGACAGCCAGTAGGCCAACAAGAACCTTAGTCCTATAACCAAAAAGGAGCTAAGTTAGTCAATAACTTGAGTGAGCTATATAACAGGCTTTTTTTTGGAGCCTCCAGAAATGAATTCATTGGCCCAAAGAGATCTGCATCAGGGTTGTAGCATACTGATTCTTTATTGTTTAGCCCATTTTGTTTGTGGTAAGTCATTACAGAAGCAACAGGAAACTGACAGAACCTTAATGAAATTTATTTAGAATAACAGCGACAGATCAGAGAAGAGTGATGGTGAAAGACAGAAACATTAACAAACAAATGGCATTTAAAAAAGAGAAATGGGGGGGGGGAGATGTAGCTCAGTTGTTAAAAGCACTAGTTGCTCTTTGAGGGCACCCAGGTTCAATTCCCAGCACCCACATGTTGAGTCACAACAATCTGTAAGTCAGGTTCCAAGAATCTGACACCTTCTGTCCTTTGCAGGCACCAGGCATGCATACAGGTCAAAGACATACATGCAGGTAAAATGCTCAAACATATAAGATAATTTAATTAAAAATACAAAAAAAAACAGAGGGATGGAACAAGACCACTAAAAAGAGAGAATAGGATGAAACTCCTAGAGTGAGGAAAGCAACAAGGAATGAAACTGAGGAGGCAGAAGCTAAAGATATGGAGGACATGGAATGCTTGTGCCCTGCTGTTAGAGATGGACAATAAAGAGTGAAGTAACTCTAGGGAAAAAAAGGAAGGAAGGAAGGAAGGAAGGAAGGAAGGAAGGAAGGAAGGAAGGAAGGAAGGAAGGAAGGAAGGAAGAAAGAAAGAAAGAAAGAAAGAAAGAAAGAAAGAAAGAAAGAAAGAAAGAAGGAAGGAAGAAAGGATATGGTCACATAAAATAAGCAAAGAGCAGAAATGACCCAAAGGTTCATCAACTGCTAATATCCCAAAAGAAGTCAGGACAAAGGGGAGCATATATACTGCATGGTCCCATTTATTAAAAATTCTAGGGAGTATAAACTAATCTAAAGTGACAGTATGCTGAACACTGTTTGCTTGGATAGAGTAATTACCAAGAGACATGTGAAAATTTTGGCAATAGGTCAGTTCGCTGTGTTAACTGCCATGGTTTCATTAGTGTACACATATGTAAAACTATTATCAAATTATTGCTGGATGCAGTGGCACATGCCTGTATGCCTGTGATCTCTGAATCCTTAATTCTCTGTGAGTTTGAGTCCAGGACAGCCAGAGCTATACAGAGAAACCTTGCTTCAAAAAACTAAAGTATATATATATATTTGTGGCCTTCAAATGTGTACATTTTTAATAGGTGTAATGGCACAAGACCGTAATCTCAGTACTTGGGAAGCTGAGGCAGGAGAGTCAGGAGTGTGAGGCAAGCCTGAGTTACCTAGTAAGAAAGACCCTGTCTCAACGACAAAGTTTGGGAAGATGTAGCTCAGTGCTTGCCTTGCATGCATAATACCATAGGCTGAAGCCCCCAAACAAGAAAACAATATACATTTCTGTTGTAGGACCACAACACTTCAATAAAACTTGCTTGTTTTGTTTGATTTGCTTTATTTGGAGCAGTCATCCATGGCTGAAATTCACCAAATGCTTTCTCATCCTTTCAGAAATCAAATCCTTCCAAGCATTGGAGTAGAGAGAGAAAAGAAAGAAAGAAAGAAAGAAAGAAAGAAAGAAAGAAAGAAAGAAA